TATTAAAAAAGTAATTAAAATGGAAGAGGAATATCATTTTAAATATTCTACTAAATTTAAGGAATAAAATAAAAAATAAACCTAAGGTTTAGGCTCTAATATTAAATCCTAGTAAATTTTAACAATTTATTGAATCAAATAATTAAAATGAAACCTCAAGCATAAGCGATGACCCTTTTAAAAATTCACTTAAATTAAACTAAGTTTAGATGCTAACTTAAAAGAAACCCAATTCTAAATACGCAAAATAAAGAAAAGTAGTAAATCTATGACTAAATTAAAAGAATGTAAAATTCATAAACTTAATTTAAAGTAATGAAAACATGCATTGAGGATTAAATTAAAGTAATTCTTAATTAGAAACAAAAATTAAAAGCAATTAGAGCATGCATAGTGACTAAATTGAAACAATTTAAAATATAAAGTTGAAATTAAATTAAAATTTGAATCTAATGCTACGAGACCACAAAAATTAGGTACAGGGAAGTGTGGACCATAAGTGGGGAAGCGCTGGCCTCTAAGCTCGAGATTACACATATTTAAGGCTTTTTCGTATTCAATTTTGACCTTTCATTGTCATTTTCATTTTCAATTTTAATTTTAATTTCTCTCTCTAAAACCCTCTCAAGAGAAATACTCTTAATTCTCTCTACAAAAACACCCAAAAACTTATAGAACTTGAACTTTCTCGATCAAAACCTTTAGTTTGTCTCGTGTTCTTCACAAGTTCATCATCCAAACCCTATTTAATCTATAAAAACATCAGAACTCTTCTTAAAACTTATTTTTTTCAAATCAAACTCATTAAAACCCTCAAGAACACCTAAGTGTTCTTCACATCTTTTCTTCTTTGATCTGGATTAATACCCAAATTGCTTTTTGGAATCGTTTGGTGAATTTTTGGTGATGGAAGAGTGGTGTAAGAACCCTTAAATTGCTTTTTAGGTTGCTAGGAGTTGCGGTAACACACTACAACTCTTCCTTACTACTTGTTTGTCATTTACACGAGTTTGCTTGCTTGTATGAGGTGGAAAAACATATAGGGTCTTGGGTGCTAGATTTGTTGTTATGTAATTTTTAGATGTATTCTAGTGTAAAAATGATGTATAGTGACCCCTAATAACTTCCATAAGCTTTAATAATCAACTTAGATTTTAAAACAAGTGTTTGGGTTGAGCTTAGGGTGTTTGTCGTGTTAAACAGTGTATTGTTGGGTGATAGTATAGATATTGTTTAAAAAGTATCGAAACTATTCATATTATGGGTGAAATTAGGCTATTTTATAAGGGGTGTCGATATTGTAGAGGGGAGTATCGATACACCTCATTTGAAAAATAAAAAGGGTGATTTTTGGGTCGTTCGGAAAATATTTTTGGTACTAACACTCAATGGAGTATCGATACTACCTGAAAATCATTGATATTAAATATATGATGTCGATACTATGGGTATTTTGGGGATCCCTCGGGTTATTTTTGGTATGGATACTCATGGAGAGTATCGATACCCTAGGGTAGGTATCGATACCTATATAAATGTACTGATATCATCTTTGATGATTGGTTAAAGGAATTTGAGATGTTGAATAAAATCAAGAGTAAGGAGTTTAATAATGGTTTAGATCAAGCATATAACTTTACAATGTGAGAAATTACTAAAATGCCCTTAAAAGGATGAAATTATCAAATTGTCATAGTTACGAACAATGCCCTTACGAAATGATGTAAGATATTAGTGGTTGCTCATCAAACTTTAGAGGAAACCTAAAATACCCTTGAATGGATAAAATGAAAAAAAATACCCCTAAGTCATAATAAGTGATACAGAAAGCCTGAGAGTGCTCGAAAAAAAGGTTTTATGAATCTGATAATTTATTAAGTGCTCTTTCCATAAGCCTTAAACATATGATATACTTGTGAGTGGGGTAAATTATTAGACTACCCTTAGGGGGATGAAATTACTAAATTACTCTTATGGGCCTCAGTGAATGAAATAACTTATACAAGTAAAAGTTTGAGTTGCATATTAATTGAATAACTGTATGAGATGTTTAGCTCTATACGAGAGGGTATCTATGAAGACTCGGTAACAATAGTTTAAATTAATATCAGGGTTTTGGCTTAGTAGTATTGGTACTATATAGATAGAATATCGATATTAATTTTTGAGTATCGATACTAAAGGGTGAGGTATTGACACCATCATTAAGTCACAAATCCAGTAGCCATACTTAGTATCAATACCTAGGATGGTATTGATATCCTAGTAGAGAAGTATTGATACTCCAAGTAAGGTGTCGATATTGCAAGGCCTCCTTATATCACAAAATACAAATTTGGTATCGGTATCAAGGGTAGGTGTCGATACTGAAGGGCTTAGTATCAGTACCATCACAATAAATTGGGAAAGAAACTTAGTTTTGAGTTAATGACTCGGAAAAGGGTTAAAGACACCAAAACCTTAATAATAAAATCTTACAAGTAAAAACCCTGAGTAATTATGTGAGAAGTATAAGAACATTATAAGGTAATATTTCATAAGATGTATGCCTTCGTTTGACACTCAGGAAAGGATGAAGACACCCGAGCTACTTGCATGTATGACAATCGTCTAATGTATTTATATGTATATATATATGAAAAATATCTGAATATACTCCAATCAGTATTAAGGCAAATTAGTATTAATGCTAATGCACTTGTGTATTAAGTGCTAATACACTTCCATATCAGTGTTGAGGCACTTTAGTATCAGTGCTAAGGCACTTCAATTATTCGATGATATATATATATATATATATATATATATATATATATATATATATATATATATATACACACCAGAAACTATATCGTGATACTTTTGATGTGACTTTATGTTTGATGCATTTCGTTGTTGTGTGATTAGTACCTGAAAGCTGTGTACTAGTATTTTGTTTGTGTGATTATGTGTGGCATAGGATGATGCATAGTAGCATGGTATTGTGGTTTGGGTTTTGTTATGAACTAAGGGAATCATGAGACTCATATCATTGTGATAGTGGACGTACCTTGGATAGATGGTTTGGCAGTACTGATGAGATAGTTGTATTGGTTCTCTGACTGTACTTATTAGCATGCTAATGTTATGGAATGCATGTAGTACTGTAGAGGTATTGTGTGGCGTGGGGCTTGCGAGCTCAGCATTTGGAATGTGTTTTCGTTCGTAGGTTTAAGGTTTCTTGGAGTATAATAGGACAACAATATCATCAGAAGAGTCTTAGCAAAGTACTAGAGAACAATGATGGCATCTTTATGGACATGTAGATGTCATGATTTAAAATGGATCATATTGTAATATTTTAATTATTTATTTTACTTTTTGAGTTTTTAAATTAGGGGCTGCTTTTGGAATTGGTTATGGTTCATACTTTGTATAAACATTTTAAAAGTAAGAATGGTTTTAAAGGAAACAAATGGTAGTCACTTGTGATTCTGTGTGATACTCGAATATTGGGATTCAAGTGTTACATAAACAACTTTCTACCTTTGTTCTTCATCTATAATCACTCTTGATCCAAAAATCTTTAAACTTCTTTCATTTTTGTTTTTCAAAAATAAAACATATAACACAAGCAGGATTGAATAAAATCTTCCCAACTTCCCTAAATTCTAAACACTACCCAAATCCAAGCAACCTCTCATCTTCAAACTCAAAAAACCTCTTCGATCCTTCGACTTATCTCTCCCTCTTTCAAAACCAACCAAAGCCAAAAGAAACACCAAAAACAAAGGGTTTACTTTAATGATGCTTTGACAAAACCTCGAGTTTCCTGATTACTATGACAACGACGACGACGATGGTAAAGTTTTTTCTTTCATTCTCTTACCTTTTGCATGTATTATTTATATGTGTCTCTAATAATTGTCGTAATAAATGCGACTATTTATACTTTGCAAAATGATGATGTGTTGTTGGCGTTCGCCCTAGAATCCGACGATCATGTGCTTTTGGTTTTAGCTTTTTCCTTGCGTGTTCATATTAGGATTTTTCCCATTTTTCTTTATTGATGCTTTCTATTTTTGTGTATACATGATGACGAGGAGATCAGTGATTGGAGACAATACACACGTATTCTTCTTATTGGTTGAGGTGACGCGCGATTGAAAGCCATGCGCGGTGGGCACTTGTGAATCTAATTGAGCATTCTGGAACCTTGTCTCATGACTGTTGAATCAATCTTGATCTAATGATTGGCATACATTTAGTTTTTCTCATACGAATTGATGACATGATGTGTAAATGGAACATCAAATCCTATGCATCTCACCAATAGCCCTTGATGGTTTTCAAGACATATTAAATGGCTTCCCACCCACCGACCATTATTAATCACATCTTCAAACTCTCAAAATTCATAAATCCAAATTCGTAAATCCCAACAAACATCCATTTCAATCGTTGGATGAGTGGCCGACAGATGATTGACGAGCCGGTGGCCGACAGTTGAGTCGTGGATCACTGACTATGGTGATGGTCGGGACTAAAATTGAAGGTATTGGGGTATTTTATGAAAAATAAAAAAATTTGATTTTTTTTAAAAAAACAATAAATTTAAAAAAATTAAAAGAAATAAAAACTCAAGCTTTGTGTAAAATATTATTTGGTTAACTGATTTTTAATAATTTTTTAACTATCGTTATTGTGTATAAACTTAAATGATAGCTTTGAAAATATAACACACCTAAATTGATAAAAAAAATACTTAAATAGAAAATGAGGTACAATTTAAATATTTTTTATATTAAGCCTTGAAAATATTTAATATTAAATGATGGTTTGGTTCGGTCGATATGGGCATGGGCAGAGAAATTTTAGCCCGGCACATGGCAGCAGGGTCTGGGGTTTATGTGAGAGAGAAAAGAGATTATGAACTTGGGAAAGGCTATTTAGGTAATTAAGGTTATTCCAAGCAGCATCAGTGTGAAACCCTAATTCCGTGTGAAACCCTAAGGCCGCAAAAGAAGAAATCAATCTCTGCTGCAGAAATCAAAGAGAAAAAAGAAATGGAGGCAGCGAGAACAGTTAAGGATGTTTCCCCCCCCCCCCACGACTTTGTCAAGGCTTACGCCGCCCATCTCAAGCGCTCCGGCAAGGTTTCTCTTTTCTTCTCCTGGGTTCCTCATAAATTCTACTCCCTATTTCATTGTTAGAGATGCAGTGACGGTTTTGAAATTCAACATTTCTTATTTTTTTCATTATAATTAACAATAAGTTTTCTTTTTTATCTGCTTGGATTGAGCTTCCTTCATGGACTGATATCGTCAAGACTGTCAAACTCAAGGAGCTTCCTCCCTATGATCCCGATTGGTACTATATCAGAGCTGGTGTGTACATTTTATTAAAAAAACTTATGAATAATGCTTCATTTTAATACTTGTTGTTGTTCTTATGAGCGCCTCATTCCTTTGGTTTTGTAGCTTCCATGGCAAGGAAAATATACTTGAGGGTAGGTCTTGGTGTTGGTGCCTTTAGGAGGATTTACGGATGGGCTAAGAGAAATGGAAGTTGCCCTCGCCATTTCTGCAAGAGCAGTGGATCTGTGGCTCGTCACATTCTTCAACAATTGCAGAATGTTAACATCATTGATATTGATCCTAAAGGGTTAGTTTTTATTTTCTTTGATTATTTCTGTTTGTTAAATTCATATTTCTACTCACATTTGTGTTTTGTTGGTATTAAGATAGTTGGATATCTCCATCACAGAAACTAAACTATATAAAAAATTGCTAATGTCGTCTAACTCGTAGACTTAGGATGTGTTTAGCATTGCTTGGCAATCCAAAAACATGTTTTGATAGTATAAGTTCTACAAACCAATGGGGTTTTCCTTTCCAAAATAAATATCTTTAGAACATGATTGACTAAACTGTAATTTAGTTACCTATTTTTAACCTTGATTTTATTTTGGTCGGACAACTATTTTTTTCCAAAATCATAGCTAATGATATGTTTTTGTTCCATTTTGGTCACTGGTCATTAAAAATTAAACAGAACTGATGTGACAAATTTTTAAATCTTTTTACGATGATGATATGACATTATTTTATGGTGACATATAAAAATCATCGTTAAATTTTTTAATAGCGGGTTACCAAACTGGAACTAAAATGTAACTTTAAGTATGATTTTGAAAAAAAATAATAGTTTGGTGACCAAAACTGAACAGAAGTGATATTTGGGTGACTGTATGCATAGTTTACCCAGAATGCTTTTGGAACTAAACCAAGAAACCATCTGCTAGGTAACTTTCACAAATACTTTCAACTAAATCAGTAATGGTAAACTAACACTTGAGGCTACAAGCTATTTTTCAATGCAAAAACAATAATAAACGTGTAAAGTATTTTGGCTCTTGTTAAGATCATGATTTGACAAACCAAATAGGAAAAAAACCAAGGTCATGGTACTTTTGGCTTTTGAAAGTTGATTTTGAGATTAAATAACTTTATTGTCGTCATATCTTTACATTTTTATTATTTTTGAAACCTTTGTTTTGAAATTTCAATTCCTAACAACACTTTTTTCGCAGCAATGTCAAAACAGAAATTTCTTAACCATATTTTTTCACCAAACCAAGGTTTTTCAAATTAATTTATTTTAATTAAGTAATAAATATTATAAAAATATAAGAATGTGTTTGGATGAATGAGATAACATTTGACATAGATAAAAGGGGTTAAAGGTTTAATGTAGTGCAACTCATCTTATCTCATCTGTAAATGTCAAGTGAAATGTTTTGGTGTGCGTTAGTGGTAGGAGAATCACATCCAATGGACAACGCGACCTCGACCAAGTAGCTGGGAGGATAGCAGTTGCCATGTGATTGTTGCTTTCTTCTTTATGAAATTTAATCAATAGACATTAATATTTTATTTTTGAGTTGCTGACCCTATCTTCATCATTTTTTACTTATGTTTGTTGTTTAAGATAACTCGTGTCTTAAAAATTGTACTATCTGCTTCTTTGCTCTGCATACTCGTTTTATTGAATCCTTTGATTTAAATTGTGTTTATTTTGAGTTTCAACATATCATGCATTATTCTATTTTTTAACTAATTGATTTTTGACTTAAGTGGCTTTCATATTTGAACAGATTTTTGGAACTTGTGAAAGGGTTGTCTTTTGTCATGTTTTAAAGGTTTGTGACTTTATCCTCATACACAACACAACCATTTACATACCACAAGCTCACTTATGAGCTTTTTCCCTTTTAAGTTGAGGTGAAAGCTTAATCTACATGAGATAATTTGTTTCTCTGCATGGGTTTTAGCAAGTAATCTTTGGGGTTCATATACCTTATGTCTACGTGACATAAATTCTTTCTCCGCATTTACATAAAGGAATGTATCCTCTCAAATTGAACTTGATCCGCATGAACTTGTAATGAGCCAAGATTGAAGGTTTGGCAGCCTAAGGAGGCACCAACATGGACAATTCGAGTACCTTTTTCTTATAACCCAATACCGCATATAGTGAGCCCTAGTAACCCACCCCAATAAAATTCATTCAAAAACTTTGTCTGTTGTTAGGTATCTGAACAAGTGTACACAAAGTAGAAACGATGCTAAAACTCTTTTCTTTACTTGTATTATATTATTTTCTGAATAAAGCACGTAAACTTGAAAAACATGTGTTTAGGTTTTACTTTCGAATAAAGCATTGGGTATAAATCATGTTTTGGGTAGGATTTAACCTAATAAGGGTAGAAAAGCATGTGGGAGGATGTCGCAATTATCTTTCAATAATATTTGCTTGATATTTGAATTCTTCTATACTAACACATTTTCTATGTTTGATTGATTATTGTTTGGCATTTGCATGATCATCATAAATAAAAGAAAGATGTTGATTAACCGAGTAATCATCAGAGTAGGAGAGCGATCATTAAGATAGAAAAGAGTTTGGTCTGAAGAAACACAGAAAGTGAAAGGAGACAATTTACCTGGGGATTATGTATCGCAAATGTTCACAGATGTCAATGTCAATTTCAAGAAAAACGATTTACATGAGCTGATAGAGATTTGGGAGAGCTGGAGAGTAGCTACTAAGGAGAAATTCCAGGAGAAGTATGACGACATATCACATCTCCTCTATGTAAATATAGATGAACAATTTGCTTAAAGATCTAGTCCGATTCTGGAATCCTACTTACAACTATTTTACATTCAATAGACAAGATTTGACACCAACAATAGAAGAGTATACAACCCTATTTAACTTCGAGAGCCTCCACGTGGATAGAATTTATTCCAGACCTCCAAAAGTCCAATCCTTCAAAAGTAAACTTGTGAAGATTATTGGTAGAGGTGAAAATTGGATAGTAGAGTACATCTAACAAAAGGGAGAAAAATAATGTTTTCCGTGACATTGTCTCAATAAGGTGATACTCGAGAACATAGATGAAGATAAGAGATTAGACACCTTTGTTCTGGTTATATATGGTCTAGTGATATTCCTTAAGACCTTGTTCCATGTCGAGGCTACTATTGCAAAGTTCTTTGACAGATTAGAGAAATGTATAAATTCAGCGTCGACTGTCTTGGCAGAAACCTTTTGATCCTTAAATAATTTTCGTAGACTGGAGGGAGGTCGACTCATAGGTTGAGCTCAACTACTCACCATCTGGATTCATAGTCATTTTTGGAAGGAAGATAAAATGTCTTATCAACGTTTCTTCACCATGTACTTACATTTGAAAGAATTTCTTATCAATGAGTGGTCAGAGGGGTTGCTAAGGAGATGGATATCAGCATTCAATAATCTACAAGATCGAGACATCGCTTGGTGTGTTCCTTGGCTAGGATATACAAGAATTTTATTCAGATGTGGAGATCTCGACTACGTCCCATTGTTGGGTTATGGGGAGGAGTTAGCTATGCCCTGTTAATGGTCCTTAGATAGTATAGAGCGCATTAATTTGTCCCGGTTACGAGTGGCTTGAGTAAGTCTGAAATCACATACCATGGAGACCATTACAAAAAGAGAGCATGTGATTCATCTCTTTACTGGAGAAAGACCTTCCGAACGAGAGTTATGGTCGGGGATGTTATGTACACACCTGATTATAAGGCTTGGAGATTTGCAAGAAAGAATGAAAATTACCTTTGCCAGATCAGGGAGAATATATCCCTTGGGAAGAGCATATCAGGGTGGTACCCTCTCAAGCAGAGATTCTCACCGCTGAGTTTGAAGCTGAAAAGAAGAAATGGGACAAGGCAATGGAAGAGGCTAAACGATACACTTCATGTTAGATCTCGATATAGATTTCCATGCCAAACAATGTGAGTTGTTAAGAAAAATAAAGAGAAGGTTGATCTTGAGCTGGCTAACCTGAGAAAGGATTACTGTAACCTACAAAAGGCAAAGAAAGTGTTTGGATCTGGCAAGACATCACAATAATGGGATAAAGAGTTGGTATCGAGAAGCAGCGTGTTCAAAGTCTGGAGGCTGAGAACAAATGCCAACTTAAAAGTATTAAAGCTGAGAAAAAATTACGGGACATATATAAAGCTGAAAAAAGAAGCGACTAAGCAACTTAATATTGAAAGTCGTAGAGCTGAGAAATAGAAAGCTAAGAAGGAAGATAGCTTGAAGGAGTTGGAAGCAGAAAAGCATCGAGTCCATGGTTTGAAAATAAAATGAAAAGTGTGCTAGAAGAACTCGAGGCAAGAGACCAGAGGATTCATGAACTAGAGGAAACAAGAGAGCAAAAGAAATATGAAGTATGGGCTGAAAGGTAGAGGTGAAACCGAATTTTCGAAATGAAGCAAGCCGAAATTGGGTCTTGGATGCAATGATTCCGAACAAAGAACAGGTGAGTGGAACAATTAACCAAGGAAATTGAAGATTTGCAGCCCAGTTTTGAAGAAGAGTTGAACCAGTCTCGAGTAATTCATAGTGAGCTCAATGATCATGTCACGTATCTCGAGGATTCCTTACTTCAAGTGCAAGTATCACCGAGGTCGATGAACTTAAAGCTTTCTCGTGAGGAGAATAAATCTTTGCGAGATCAAGTCAGAGGACTAGAGAGTGAGCTTCAACGTTGTCGAATACACATCACCAACCTTGAAAGGGAAATCACTAGTATCAATGTTGGATGGAAGGATACGTATGAACATCATCGGATGTTGGTTGTGGAACGTCAGCGGATGATGGGCGAAGCAATAGCACAAATGAGCGAGGTGGCCCACTACATACAAGAGCTAGCCAATAGGGCTGAAGCCATTATACTTCGCACTAGTTTATCCTTCGAGTATGGGGAGAAAGTTGTTGGGATCATGACTGAGATCATGGAGCTAAATAAAAGGGTCAAGTCGTATTTTTAGATTGGTCTCTATTATAATGATGAAAACTCTTTTAGAATAATGTAACTTTTTCTAAGAATGGTCACTTTTGGAAATCGATACCTTTTGCATTTGCATTCTACATTTTTCATTATTGTATTTTTTGCATCCTCATATTAATTTCCAAAACATCTCATGTGCATAGAAGACAACCATAATAATAAGGATATTAATTTATGAACATTTCTTTTGAAGAAAGATACCCTGGGAACTGATAAAAACTAGTCCAAAACCACAGACCCGTATGAGACTAGAAGTAAGACCAAGAAAATGTATCCTAAACTCGAGCAAATGTAAAAGGAGCTTCAAGAGAGGCTATTGAAGATGGAACAAGAATGGGAGGCCAAGATGGAGCAGTCATAGAGATCCTCTATTGATCGAATAATTTAAAGCCAATCCAACATGATAAATTACATCGTGGCCAAATTATCCAGACTGAGCGGCATGGAAGGGAAAGAACAAAATATTGCAGTAGCTGAGACTTTTGAATATGCACTAGTACAGTCTGGTCCTAGATTGGTCATCTCACCTGAAAAGCTCACTGGGCATTCCACAAGTTCCTGTGTTGCTAAAGCTCAAACGGTTGTTACAAACCCTCAGAACAATCCGAACGAATATAATGTACCAGATTTTGATGAAATCGGAAAAATGAAGAATGAAGTGCCTGAGCATCTGAATTATTAGTACAAAGACTTTTTTAAAGAGATGGGGGACGACCACTAAGATGGGATAGATGCGGTAGAGCTGAGTTTGGTACCCAACTTGGTTTTACCACCTAAGTTTAAGATGCATGAGTTTGAGAAGTATGAAGGAAAAACATCTCCTATTACACACTTAATAATGTTATGTAGAAGGTTGACCGGCTTCGTAAGAGATGACAGGCTCCTGATACACTATTTTTAGGCAAGTCTGACAGGATCCATCGCAAGGTGGTATAACCAGTTGACCCGGGTTAAAATAGGGTCTTGGAAAGATTTAGCAAATGCCTTCAAGTAGCAATATCAATATGTCACCAACATAATGCCCGATAGGGTTAGTCTCCAGAACATGGAGATGAGGAACAATGATACTTTTCGTCAATATGCGCAATGCTAGATTGATTTTGCTACCCAAGTCCACCCCCATTGGTCAAAAGAGAGTTCATAACCATGTTCATTGACACGTTAAAATCCCCTTATATTGATCATATGCTAAGGGTAACTACGAAAAGTTTTTCGATATATTTGTGTGGGGAAATGATCGAGAGGGCATTGAAGAAAGGCTAAATTATTGATGGCTAAACCTCAATGAAGCCTTCTTGAAAAAGAAGGAAGAAGAGGTAAACAATGTGAAATTCTCAGTAAATAAACCGAAAGCTGGAAATCCTGCACCTTAAGGAACAACCAAGCACGAGAACAATGATGCAAGAATGACTTTCACACCTATCCCGGTGACATACAATGAACTTTTCCAAGGATTGTTCAAATCAAATGTGGTGTCGCCGAGGTATGTGGATCCGTTCG